GGGCACCCCCCGTGCCGTTGCCCCAGAAGGCCGAGTGTCCGGCCAGCTCTGCTCGGCCCCTGTCCTCCATCGAGACCAACAACCCCCTGGTGATGCAGCTGCTGAAGGGGAAGCTTCCACTGGAAGAAGTTCTCCCAGTGTCTCACATCGACATCAAGCTGGAAGTTGCACAGCCAGTGCTGGAGAAGCAGTCGGAAAGCCTCTCCCTGCACTTGGACAGAGGCAGCAGTCGCTACTTCGGCAAAGAATCTTCTCCAGAGGTAGGAATAAAGACAAGTGCCCGAAGCAGGAGCGATGACATCCACTCAGTGAGATCTTCCACAGATCCCCAGGAAAAGACATGTGGATCGGCGGCAGCATTGCCTAGAGCAGAGGATCAGGCTGTTCCAGAAAAACATTCCAAGGTTGGCTCTACTTTAAGCTGCCAAGACCAACTGGCAAATGTGGCAAGTGCCTCTCCGAAGCCTGAAGATGTGGGCCCTCGGGAAAGACAGTTTTCTTCCTGTAGCTTTGAGGAACAGAAGGAGTTGTCCAAGATCCACCGGGTGCCACAGCACAACCCCTTAACGAGTGTCATGGCAGGTAAAAGCCCGGAGAAGGTGAACACCTCTACGGAGCCTCTGTTTTTATCTCCAGCTGTAACTGCTCTTGGACCAAACCAGACAGGAGGTGCATCAGTCAATAAAAGTTACAGTGGAGTTCAAGGCAAAAAGCTCTTTGGTTCTGGTTTTCCTTCCAACCCCAGCATGAGGCTGCATCATTCCAGGGCTTTGGATCACGGTTCAACCATGGGAACCTTGTCGCCCAGCAAACAGATTCCCTTGGACAAGGGCTGTGCACTGGGAGAAGGAATCCCAGCTGCCAGGGAGGAATGGACTTCAAAGCAGCACAGCAGCACGCCGGGAGGGATCAGAAATGAGAACGTGCTGGTGTGTGGCAGCCCAGCCAAGAGCAATGCAGAGAACAGGGGGGATGCAGCCCAGCACCCCACGGAGCTGGCTGGGCACACACAGAGCGAGCCACTGGTCGTGGACTGGCCTTTCTTTAAGTTTTCAAGGGATCCAGGGAAAGGACAGAGTCACCCTTTGGAGCCTTCGTCCATCCCCTCTCAGCTCAACATCAAGCAAGCATTTTATGGGAAGCTTTCAAAGCTGCAGCTCAATTCCACCAGCTTTAATTATTCATCCAACACTCCGGCTTTCCCCCGAGGCCTTGCTGGGAGCGTGGTGCAGCTCACCCACAAAGCGAACTTTGCTGCGGGCCGGGGCACGGCCCTGGCTGTGCAGATGTTTGCTGACAGCAGCAGCGTCGAGGAGATCTCCTTCCAGTGCTCGTGCAGCCTGAAGGCCATGATCATGTGCAAAGGCTGCGGCGCCTTCTGCCACGACGACTGTATAGGACCCTCTAAGCTCTGTGTATTGTGCCTTGTGGTGAGATAATAAATTATGGCCATGGGACAGGTTGTATATTCAGTGTGTGTATTTTGATAATGACTGATCCTAACGCCTGTACACAAAAGTACACAAAGTACTCTCTCTTCATAGTAGAAACGCTGTTACACTTTGTTTTGGTGAGGAAAACGTTGACCTGCCTTCCTGTGGAGATCGACAATGCAGAGCCTGTTCCTGTTCACCGTGACACCCTGGTCTGGGTGGGCTGTGCCCCATGGGAGTGATCCTGCTGCTTCCTGCTGTCATGGAATTGCCACCTGTGCTCTGGTACCGTGCTGAGGCTGATGCCGGGGGGAGAGGCCGTTCGCTGTGGCAATCCATGGACCCTCTGTGGAGGAAATCCTTACATCCAAAGGAACTGGAAGAGGGTGTTTGCTATTTCAGGGCTGTGTGAGGTGAGGCCCTACAGTCTTCCACTCTCCCCTTCTGCCATCTCCATTTCTGGTTTGTGTGGGAAGTGCTGCTGTGCAGTGAGCGTAAGCAGAGAGCTGCCCTGCAGTGATGGTCCTGTGTGGTCTTTGGATGCTGCAGCAGACCATGGTGCCCAGGAACATGCTCTGCAGGTGGCTGTGGAGCCATGTACAGCCCACCGTGTGCCAGATGGAGCTGATGTGGAGGATGCAAGAAGAAGAGGAAAAAAAGTTCGGGGCAAGTGCCAAGCAAATGCCTTCTGCTGGCCTGCAGGAAGCTGTGTGGCTGGGGAACTGCCTGGCTGAACTCGTGGCCCAGCAGCTGTGCCTGCCTCCTTTGGCCAACTTCCACAAACTGCTGTGGAATGCTGGAGGTTCCCTGGAGCTCGGGGATGTGGGCAGTGAGCTCTGCACTGCAGCCCTGTGGTGAGGACCTGAACCCCACAGCAGCTGAGCTCCTGCAGGCATCGAGCTGTGCATCTATGTGACCATCACCTAACATTTAAAGCAGTGTTCTTTCCTCTTTTTTTTTTTTAACTTTCTTTTTTTATATTTTCATTCTTGGATGTATAAAGTGAATTATTTGGCTCCTGTAAGTATCCTCTCTGCATCTGTTTGATCATATATTTATATGTTGTACACAGTACTGGCCAACTCTGTAAATGGATGTAATGTACATAGAGCATAAAGGGGTCTTTTTTTTTTTTTTCCCCCTTGGATTTTCAGGCTCTACAGCAGTATTGCATTAAAGTGGTGTTAGTTATTGTCAGAGCCACTGTATTCTGTCTTGCCTGACGTGAGGCTCACCACAGAGGTGTCTGGGTTCCGACAGCCTCCCTGTGCCTGGGTGGACTGTGCTGTGCGGGCTCAAGGATGACCAGGTGGGATTTGCCAACCCAAGCGAGTTCACCAGTTCCTCCTCTAAGCTCTTGGTGGTTGTTGCTGCACCTGAGCTCCCAGGGAAAGGCTGTACCTGTGCTGCAGGAAGGTGAACATCCTTGTGCATCCACAGAGGGAGAGCAAAACTGCAACCCTCTTCCTCTTCGGAGCAATTCCTAATCAAGAGTGAATTGCTTCAGTGAGGGGGAGAAGCCGCTGGTTTATTTAAGTGGGCAGTGGCAAGAGTTTTAGGGGGGTTATTTTCATTTTGTTTCTTCCTGTCCCTTTTCCAGCTCCATCCTACCTCCCTTCACCATGCACTTTTTTTCAGACGTGCAAGTTCCTCTTTCAGACACAAGCCTGAGGGGTGCAACAAGTTCAGTCCCCGAGATGGTTTATCCTTAATGCATCCAACAGCCTCATCCCATGGGAATGAGAGCCCAGCGCCCGCGGCACCCCGGCCCGGGCAGGGCTGTGGTGTCAGGGAGGGCGAGCGGAGGTGTGGAACCTGCTTACCAAAGATGGGGGGCTGGCTCTGCCTCCTGGGGGGCCACTGCAGTGTTCAGCTTGGACTGGTCTGGGGGCAGAGCCCTCGGGGGGGGCCTGCTCGTGTCTGTCCCTTGTGCTATTGGAAAAATAAACACTGTAAAATCTGCTTGTGTGGTTTCGGTCCTTTTTTTTTCTGAAATCCTCCTCTGTGGTAAGGCAATGTGGTTTTTCCTCTCCTCTTTTTTAACTGGGGGTGTTCCAGAGCTCTGCTCGGGTCACTAATGGGGGGCTGTGTTGCTGCTTGGCTTCATTAAATCCAGTTTTATGCACTTACAGAACACTGAAGATGGTGCAGTTGCTGCAGAGATGCTGTGAGGCTCTCGGGGAACAGACACCCTGAAGGCTCTGGAAGCCACAGTGTGGCTGTGGGACACTGTGGGGCCCCCCATGGTCACAGCCATCCCTGCCCTCCTGGGGTGATGCCTGTGGGCAGCAGCACCGAGACTGGTCCCAGGGTCATGGCAGGTCCTGCTGTTTCTGCCCTCATTGTTGAATAAATGAATCTAAAAATGTTTTTCAAGAGCATAAACACGTGATGCCAATTACAGTTTATTGAAACTACCTGAAAAATTACTTTATGGCTGTGTCCTTTCTCTTTTCTAGGCAGTAAGGAAATATCAAATTATTACATGTCTGGGTTCTCAGGGCATGGACATTCTGTGTAGTGAGCAGGGATGTCCTGACTGGGGCTGTGGGAATGCTGAGATCTGTGTGGTGATACAGTCCTGGACTTCCTCACATTTCATAGTGCTTCCAGCACACAAGAGCAAGGGCTGGGACAGTGGGTGATCCCACACCAGCTTTTGGGGAGAAAAAAGGCTTTTTTTGTTTTTTGGTAGTTCACTGGATGGTCTGACTCTGGCAGGTTGTCTTGCACACAGCATGGTTAAAGATCCCAGATAATCTAAATAAGCTGAAAATGAGGAATGCAAAAAATGAGTAGAGTTATTACTTAGCCAAGCATTAAAACTTAATAAACAATCCTTCCCTGTTTTATTGGGGTGGGAGGTGGTGGTGTCAGGATTAGTTACCTCTGGAATAGGACGGGGTTTCAAGAATAAAACCCATTAATGTCAGGATTTCACACAGAGCAAACACACTGTTATTTTTTTTTCTCTGTGATATTTCTGTGCTAAGGAACTGATTTTCTCTCTCACAGCCTGGCTGCTGTTAGGGACCAGCTCTGCCATGCTCTGGAGCACCCTGGCTCCATGGAGGGGACATCCCAAGTCAGCCCAGTTATGGGGCCATGGAAGCCTCAGCAGGTACCACCAACTGGTGTGCAACTGGTGGAACCCAGCACTGCTTACCCTTGTGGCTTGCAGCCGTCTCCTGTGCTGCTTTTGAAATTTGGGAGCAAAGCTCAGCCAGAGGCTCAGTTATAAACCCAACGGTGTCACAGACCACAGAGCATTAGCACTGAGCTCCCAGACATGAAGGAATTCCAGGGATTCTCCATTTGGGATGTGCTGTCACCATCCCAGGTGATGGTTTACAAGCACAAATGTTTAGGTGGGACCTGCTGGCCTCACTCCTGGCTCCAGCTGCAGCAAATCCCGGGAAGGGGCTGCCCACCCTCCCGCCCAGCCAGCGCCCCCACACCCGTGGGCAGCTGCACTTCCAAGGAAGGTGCAAACCCCCCCTTTGCCTCTCTGGGTCTCCTGGCAGTCAGACTAGGAGATTGTATCTACACAGCGCTTGAAGAGGAACATTTATGGATGCAAAGGTTTATTATACTTAGTGAATAAAGCTGATAACGAAAAATCAGTATTTTCCATGAGGGAGAGGGAGAACTTTCCACAAACTTCAATGAAAACTCCTTTTTTTTTTTCTTTTTTTTTTTTTCTCACAAAAACCAGACACTTCACAAAATTAATTTTGTCAAAATATAAGTTAAGCATAAAACTGGTGCCTTGCCCCCCACGTGAGTGCTACCGCTGCTCTCTCTGGTACCCGCGCTGTCTGTTACGGAATGGAAAGCACAGCTTATGTCAACAGGATTGAAAGATGGGGGGGGGGTTGTAGTTTTTGTTGTTTGGTTTTTTTTTTTCTCTTTTAACACCCAAAATTTAGATCCTGCTCTGGTGGCTGATGGCACTGACCTCTCTCACACAGGGGCTGGGGCCAGCAGCACCCAGCGGGGCTCGACAGTGGAGGAGAAAGCCCTTTTTGTTATACAGTGTTTATTAAGTAGATTCAGTCTTATATATGATATACAGATTCGAAAGAAAAAAAAAAAAAAAGGATTCCACATACTTATGAAATCAGTGCATTTAGCAAGTAATACCATGGAGATAACAGCTCGATTAACAGCTCATTGGTCTTTGTTAAGTGAGGGGACAGGGAGTTGGCCTGTGCTAATCATTCCACAAACAGAACAGAATTAAGTTGCATCACATATATAATAGACACACATTCTAAGAATTAAAATATTAAGCCACATTTACTGGAAAAATCCACAGTATATAACACAAATAACTCTTATCAAGCTCGTTGAGGAGGAAGTGCTCATCTGCTTAAGAGCCACATGAAGTTGCATAGGTGCCTATCTGCAAAAATATCATTTCCAAAGGAATCAATTGATTAAGCAATAAAGTGTCACCTTAAAAGCTGGATTAAGTGCCATACGCTTTCTGAGTCCTCGGGAAAGCACCAGCTTCCCAAAGAGCCTCTTCTGCCTCATTGGGAGCCCCCCGCCTCCCGCGGGACCGCGCTCCCACCCCCCAGCCCAAACCAGTGTCCAGGCTTGGGCAAGCTCACCCCTTCCCTAAAGTATTCCCAATTCTGCTGAGGAGTGTTTTCCCCCTGTTCCCCTGTGTCAGCTGGACCCTGCGAGGAGCTGGGCAGCGTCCAGGCGGGAGGAGGAGGAGGATGGGGAGGCAGCAGCACTGCCAGGATCTGGCGCTTCAGAGCTCCGGATCAGCTCCCGATTGGAATTGCAGCCAATCCATACGACTATTGGGAAAGAAAAAAAATACAACAGCTTGTGCAAAAACCCAAAATTGCTTAAAGAGTGTCTAGGTTTGGTGGGGTGTCCCTCGGGGCGGGCGCGTGTCGGTGGGTGGGTGAGGCTGTGGCTGGGTTAAACAGACGAACTGGGTGAGGGGCAGCTTCCTCTTCAACAGCAGGTCTGGCAGAACACACGGGGGCCGGGAGTTCTGTACATGTAAACAGTACACTTTCACTGAGTCCAAAATTAGGAGCAAAAATACAAAGGTTCACATTGGTCTTAGGTAGATACAGGCGAAGAACTGAGCTGTGCAGCTCCGAAACAACCGAACAAAAGTTTCTAAAGCACCACTAAATTATATAAAAATCAGACCATGGACGGATTGTAGTTGGTGTCTGGTGAAATACTATGCTACCTTGTAAAAAGTTTTACAAAAAATTACAAATCAAAAGTATATTAACCCTCTGAGTTCAAAGCAGCATTTTTTTTTTTTTTTCATGAACTGGTACTAAATCCGACGGCCGCTCCGGGAGGGAAGTGGCCCTTGGGATCAGGGAGGTACAAGTTATGTCTGCTCGCAACCCCGGGAACGCTCTCCCATGGAGAAACAGTGTCATGGGAACCGCACATCCAGGACAGGGTGGGTGTGTTAAAATAAAATAAAATTTAAAAAAAAAAAAAATAATAAATCTATTCTCTTGACCAGTGATCAGCTTTTCTTAACCAAACCCAAGACCATCCAGACCATTTGCTAACCCAGCATTCTCCTTCCACCTCTCAAGATATCTGGAAAGCCGGTGTATTCTGCTCCTGCTTGTTCCTTCTCGTTGAGAACCCGGACTAGCAATTCCTGACCCCGTCCTGCCCAGTGAGAGCGCAGGAATGTGGCTGTGAACAGTCCTGGAGCACAGGGAGCCGTGGCGGAGCACGGAGTAGCTGCAGAGCACGGAGATGTCTGTGGAGCTCATGCCAAAGGAACCGTTAACGCTGCGGCTCACCAAAAAAAAAAGAAAGAAAAAAAGATCCCTGACAGAATATCGGAGTCAATCCCGTTTGTTTCATAACTTGTCCCAGATGTGGCTGTCACCAGGGCTTTGGGAATCTGAGTCTGTACCATTCAGCTGCAGGTTATGAACATCAGGTGCTGGGACAGGGCGGTGTTGGGCACCCTCCTACGCGACGCAGCCTCGGTGTCCTCTACAGCAGTTTGACCACGTGTAAGAGCTCCTGAACTTCCACGCGTGCCGAGACAGGTTCAGAGGTGATCGGGAACGACAGCTAAACCTCGGATAAATAAAACTTAACCCCACTGTGGCTGTTGGTGGTCTGTCCACGAGCTCCCAGGTTACCTCTGCTTCAGTACGCTGATGGCAAACTTATGGCTAAAGGTTCCACTGCCTCTGCCGGGGAGGGAGGCACCGGCACGGGTGGGAGACTGCGGAGAGGGAGAATCCCGGGACAGCGATTGTCTCTGCCTCTCCTGCCTGAACGGTAAGACTTTCACAAATGGCTGCGGTTACAGGTTTTGTCAAAGGTTTGTTACTTCATGGTATTCACACAAAAATAAATATTTACATAAATTCCAAGTATGGGAGGATGCAGTGGACAAACCAAGCAGGCTTGTGAAGTGCTGGGGAAAGCGTGAGTCTGAGCCCTGGCTGGGGGCTGGCATCCCCAGGGCCCCCACCCTGCGGGCAGGAGGGGGCGGGTGTGGCCACGATGCTCCCGGTTCCAGCACCAGCTCAGGTCTAATGAGCCGCCACCTCATCTCTGCACCCCGTGGCCAGGGGCTGGGTCCCTTTTCTCCAAATGCTACGGAAAGGTTAAGGTTTGGGGAAAACAGTCAATGCAATGGTTGATCCCTTCTGCTGCCGGGCCAGGCACACCTGGCATCAGGAGCCAGAACCTTTTCTGTTCTGAGACTAAGAGCAGGGTAAAGTTTTGCTTCTCTTCCAGTGTGTGGAGCATCATGGGGTACAGAGGGTACAGGGGAACTGCCCGGGCCTGCTCCTGGCCAGCCCAGCTGCTGCTCAAGCCCATGTCAGTGGCGTTGGCCCCTGGAGCAGCAGCCCCCATCTGCCAGCTCCAAGCAGCCAAAAAATAAGCTAAAAGCTGGCTCCAAAGAGAGAAAGTTTCTACCTACAAAACAGCTTTACACTTATCGAATTTCTGCCTCACGGTGCAGACTCCAGCCGGGAGGGGGGGCTGCGGGGCTTGGGGAGCAGCAGGACCCCCGCCGGTCTCTGCACAGCTCCAGAGCACGTGGCACTGCTGGGCTGGGCTCAGCACCCCTGGCAGGAGCGAGGTCCCTGGGTTAGCAGCACTGGCAGTAGGTATTGCACTGAGCAAAACGAAGTGCATCATGGGGGAGAGGGGTGGAAACGGGGCAGAATGGTCATCGGACTATGGTTCTTCCACACTTTGGGAACTGTGGGCTTGTTCCAGGACTGTGAGCAGGGAGCGGGAAAGATTCCTGGGCCCCGGAGAGGACTTGGTCAGTTCTGCTGCTCAATGCTGCCCGTCTCTCCCGCAGGAGCGAGTGGTCACGGCACCAACTCACCTTCTGGGTGAGCCCTGGCGCTGCCCTGCCTCACACCCCGTGGGTCCCCAGCGGTTTGTCTCCCGGTGCTACCCCGGGGCTGGTTTGGGACGGAGCGGAGTGGATGGCCAGGCACAGCAGGACCCCAGCCGGAGGTTCCAGCCTCCTCGGCACGATCCCCATGTCTGCGACACTCACCGTCCCCCAGGACCAGCACGGCCAGTCCTGGAAGAAGCCCACAATGGAGTGTGAGGTAGAGTACAGATGGTGACCGCAAGACAGTGTTTCTCAGGTATCTCCTTCCTTCCTTCTCTTATCTGCAATGACTTAAATGAGTGCGAGATGTCCTTCCAGCCGGAGGTCTGCTGAGCTTGCCGAGTCTCTGCAGGAGGTTCAGACCCCACTGGTGCTGTGGAACCCTTTAGAACGAAAGCCTAAGCTTGTGCTGCTGTTCAGCTCCCACCTACGCTCACTGGAGGCTGAGCAGCCTCGATATCAAAGGCTGGATGGCAAACTTGCTCCCTGTGGGACAAGGGTTCACCAGAGAAACAGGCAGAGCTGCCTGGAAATTAGTAGTGTAGTGATATGGAATGTGTTATTTCACAGGAATAAATTCCTTCTGATCAGACAGACAAAAAACTGGCAATCTGTACAAACTCAAAAGAATCCATTTTCAGAAAAATAAATTACTAAGGGGAGAGGAGGGTCCATTTCTCAATAAATATGTGATTCAGCTCACCTAAGACTTGGAAATTATCCGGGGATGGGAATCTAACATTTGGGTCCACAAAGGTTATTCTAAATACATCTGCAGCCCCAAACCTCCCCAGGCTCCCTTCTGCCCTTCAAAGTCCCACATCCTTCCAAGCTGCAGGGCTGGCTTCTGGTCGGCCGGACGCACGGGTGTTGGTACGCTTCCAAAACGTGTCCTTGTGCCTGAAGTCCCAGGTGCTTGGAGTGTAAAACAAAACAGGTCTTTTGAATTCCACCTTCTAAAAACTACATGTACCCGCGGCGTGGCGGGAGGACGATGGTGGTCCTGAGCAGGACATCGCCGGGAGCCTCTTTCTAGCAGGTATAAATTGTCTTCTCGACCGAGGAGCGACGCAGACACGGGGAGTCAGTTCTGCTGTAAAATGAGGTTTTCCAGTTCGTCTGCAGACCGGAGCAGGAACGCCGCCGACTCCCGGTATCCGGCGATGAGCTGCCGCACGGCGCTGATCTCCGTGGGGCTGAGCTGGGCCGCCTGCATGCCCCGGCTGGTGCTGTTGGAGGGGGCCGTGCTGGAGGCCCCACCTTTCATGCTGAGATCGGTTGGACCTGCCAAGGAAAAGTGAGAGGGAAGCTGAGCTCCTGCTGGGTGGCCCAACACAGCCGTGGGACACCAGGGACACAGGGCAAGGACTGGGCACTGCGGCCATTTGCAAACCAGGATGGGAGAGTTCAGCTGCCCCTCCGAGCCCAGGTGGGTGCCACTGGTGATGGTGGCAGGGAGGGGAGCACATCGCCCCGGGCGGGATGGAAAGCATCCAAGGAAAGCAATGCTGGAGCAGCGAATGCTGCGGGAGGAGCAGCACCAGCAGAAGTGTTCCACGCCAGGAGAACCAGTGCTTCGAAGTGGGGGAGGAGGAGGAGAAGGAGGAGGAGGAGAAGAAGGAGGAGGCTCTCATGCGAAAGCAATTTCACTGGACAGAAAAGGCAGCAGTAAACGGAGCCCATTTCCCGGCTCACCAAGGGGGAAGGAGCTGGGAGCAGGGATGTGGGCTTGAGCAAGAATTGCCTGAGGTGGGGGATGGAGGGAGAAGACACTCCTGGGCAGCAAACCCCTGCAGGCCTCTGCTCAGAGGGAGGAGAAGATGCAGCTCCTTGCAGTGTGCTCTTCCCTCTGAAGGACTGGGCAAGAGCTTGGGGAAAAAAGAATTGCAAAGCAGAGGTTTAAAAATCCACTACAAAGAAGTGAAGTGAGGTGCTGCTGCATGTTGCACCCAGGGCCTGTCTGCTCCTCCTGGAGGCTGCTCAGCGACCTTCCTGCACATCTGCTGTCTCACAGAGCCAGTGGCTTGGCCAGGCCAGAGGAAGGTGCTCAGCAGTGGGGGGCCAGGGTGCCTGTGCTCCTCTGGGGAGGAACCACTGCTGCGAGGATTAGGTCTCAGCAGCTGGAAGCCGGGACGGGATCTTTATTCAGGGTTAAGAAGCATTAGGAAGGGATGATAAGAGTTAATCCCAGACAGGCATCTCTCAGGCCTCCGGAAATCACATCCTTCCAAATCCTGGCTCCAGTCGGGGCGGGCAGGGGCAGGGCAGGAACCCAGAGCGCACCAGGACAGGCAATGGCAGCCTGGAGATTGCTGAAGGACTGGCAAGGACTCCAGCCCCTCCTGCCACCAGTGCTGCAGGGTAGAACCAGAAGGAACATTTGGCCTCACCCCATACCTGTCTCCCCAGGTGCAAGGGAGTCATCAGGCACATAGGAGCCTTCCTGTGTGCCCTGCTGAGGCCTGGGATATTCCGCTCTGTTCACTGGCTCCTAACCTTAAGCCCTGCCTGTGCTCTCCTTCTGACTTCCCGTCCCGCAGCATCAGTCCTGTTTTCCCAGCTGTTGTTCCCAGGCAGTCCCCAGCCCCTCAGAGCCCTCCTGAGCTGTGGCAGGAGCTGGCTGTGCCCCCAGCCCCCAGCCCCATCGGTCCCTGAGAGCGGAACGGCTCATACCAGCAGCAGATCAGGGCAGTGATAGGCGCCCGCTCCTGTTAATGATTAATAGCTGGTACAGATTCTCTTTTTTTTTTAAGTGACACTCCTTCCCTCCACCAGTGCCACTCAGACCGTCCTTCCCAGTGCAGTTCAACAATTAACCATCTGCTGACGAGGTGAGCTGAGCCGCCAGGCAGAGACCTCTGCCAGCTGCAGGACAAAAGGGGATTTCGGAGCAGCTCTTCCTCCCCTCCAGCGGCCAGCTCAGTCCCACAGTGTGGGCTGCCAGGAGCCTGTTGCACACTGCCTGGGCATGGGGCAGAGCAATGGCTGGGTGGGCTCCCTGTGCCCCTGCAGGCCCCAGCGTGGCCACTTACCATTACTGTGGTTGCCCGTCTGGAGGGAGGCGGGGGGCTGCAGGCTGCCCCCCAGGGACCCGTAGCCACGGTAGCTGTAGTTCAGGCTTCCATTGATGTAGACCGGGTCTTGGGAGTAAGATGAAGCTGGCAGTGAGTAGGAGGAGTGGGTGATGGCTGTGGAGTCTCTGGAGTGCTGCTTGTCTAGAGCGATCGGTTCGTCCTGCACAGGGGAAACACAGACTTACTCCAGCGAGGAGCCTGGCTCTCCTCTGTGGCCAGTGGGAGGGACAGCACAGGGATGCCCGGTCTCCTGTGGCTGCAGCATGGCCAGTTCCAAACCAGCATCCCCACCCCTGTTGACCTGAGTCTCAGGACACACCATGGGGCTCTGTTCTGCAGCCTCTCTGACTTTTAGAAACAAGACTTTTAAAAACTCTTTTCTAAATTGCACACAAATGTCTCTCCCTCATCCCTGGTGGGATGAGGGACACAGCCAGTTCCAGCCCTCGTCCACCTCTAACTGCCAGCACCGTACCTGGGAGGTCTGGTAGATCTCCAGCCGCATCCTCTTGGCTGCTTTCCGCGTTTCGCTCTCACAGGCGGCGGCCAGGATGTTCTCTGCCATGGCCGAGGTCAGGTGAGGCGGCGTGGGCCTGGTCTGCAGGACACAAGGAGAGAGCATGCTCAGGGACCTGCTGCCCCAGCTGTGGTGGTGAGCAGGAGGGCACTGGGGCAGCCACTCACCATCTCCATCCCGTTCTTCTTCATGCGGCGGCAGGACTTGAGGTAGGTGCGGATGCGCTTCCGCGCCCGCTCCTGGAACTCGGGGAACTGCCGGCTGCACGACTCGATGATGGCCTGGATCTTCTCCTTGGGCTGCTTGGAGATGGGAACCATCCGGTCCAGGTTCTCATCCACAAAAAGGCGCACGAACATCTGCAAAGGAGAAGACAGGCGGTGGGAACCCCGAGATGGGAGGCAGGCAGGCTCATCCTCCCCACGGAGCCCTCCTTACGTTGAAGGCCTTTAGCCTCTCCGGGTCCATCCCCTCCGAGTCATTAATCTTATCGTTGTCTTCATGGTCATCATGGTCATCGTCATCTTCATCAGCCGTGGGGGCCCTGCCGACAGTCAGGTCCTCGGGGCAGCCGCTCACCTCTGTCTTGATGGAGTCGTAGCTGCCCGAGCTGTACGGGGGGGACTGAAAGGAGACTGTGGTTACCACTGAGAGCCCTCACCTGATGCACCTGCCCCTTCTCCTTGTCTCACTGCATCTGTCCCCTCTCCTGATGGCCCCCTGCAACTTGGGAAGATGAACCCATGGCCAAGCTCCCCTGAGCATCACCTCCTGCCTGCCTGGGACAAGGGAGCCTGTGATGGCCTGATGGCCCAATGGCTGCTTTGGCTGGTGGGACCATGGCTCTGCCTCATCCTATGGGAAACACTGCTGGACCCAGCAGGAATGGGCTTCTCCTCATATGGTGGCCGTAAGGTAAGGGTGAGGTGAGCCCACCGCAGTGCCCAGCTCTGGGGCAGGTGGGGTGTGGGGGATGTCTGTGGCTCTCCCAAACCACCCTAGGCCATACCTCTGCCGTGGTCTTCACCGCGTACTTGACCCTGCTGCGCAGCCCGTCGGCACTGCAGCTGTCGGACTGGTAGGAAGGGGTGACGTGGGCAGGGGTGAGCTTGTCGCAGAGGTTGATGGGCTGGTCGTCGGCGGAGGCGGTGAAGTCCATGGGGGCCGCGGTGCCATTGCCGTTCATTTCGGGGAAGGCGCTGTCGCCTTGCGTGCTGCTGGAAGTGGAGGGGTTCAGGGTGGAGGAGCCATTCCCGCTGCAGCTCTCTGACGAGGAGTCATCTGCAAGGAAGGACGTGTGGTCACCCCCGTGGCACCCTGTGACTGCTTTCCTGAGGCTGTTCTGGGCTCACTTGGTGGCTCAGCTACCACATGTGCCACTGGAAGCCAGGCTGGCACTGCTGTGCTTTTGGCCCTGGGATGCAGCAGCTGGAAGTACAGATGCTGGCACCCACAGCTGCAGGGCCACTGTCACATGGATTCACTCCCTCATCCCTCCAAGCACCCCGGACGCTGCCGTGCCCCATGCCCGAGTCACCCATCCCTCTGCAGGTGACAGTCCCTGCGCCTCCGCCCTCGGCCACGGTGCCTGGGCTTGAATAAGAACTTTGGAATTTGGTCCTTTTAGGTTTCTGTTTGCATTGCAGGGAGGAGAAAGGGGCATTGCCTCTCCCCACCAGGTCCCTCACCGTCCTCCTGGCCCAGTTTGGGGCTGGGTGCGGTGAGAGGTGACGAGTTCCAGCACTGGTGGCTCAGGCACATGCTGCTGTACAGAGTTCTGGGGTATAAGAATGACACACAAGGACAAGCTCACTTGAGTGGGAAAACACTGAATCCACGGTGCCTGGAAGCAGCATTAGCAGCTCTGCTCACAGCAGGCACACCACCCAATGAGGTTCCTCCTCAGCACACTGCTGCAGGGAGGGGACAGGGCTGCACCATGTCCTTCCTGTCCCACTCAAAGCCCAAGTGACCTACACCCTACATGGACACTCCTGTTCCCTGTTTCCACATGTCCCAGAGCCAGCCCCACGGCAACCACATGGCCTTTCCCCACCACTCAGACAGGTCAGGGGCTCAGCAATGGCGGTGCCACGCACATCCAGTGCACAGCCTGGCTCTGCTCAGTCTCAGTTCTACTCACACCAGAGCTCCTGGCACCATCCCCCTGCCTGTGCCCACTCCCACCGTGGTGGTTCCTGAAGGACAGCCCAGAAACGACAGAGAGCCTGGCACTGCCTGCACCCACCTTGCCTGCACCCTGCCAGAGAGCCCAGCCCTGGGGCCAAGCACAACATTTCAAATTGCTCAGCCCGTTCCCCTCCCTCCCCCTCGCCGCAGTAAATCCTTTATTTCATTAGGTGCCT